GGGATTCCGTAGGTTACACAGTGGGGTTCTAAGAAGGAAGCAGGCTCTCTCAGCACTGCACAAGACTTGTGAGGTGCTAGGGCGCTCTCCTGGAGGTGATGTGTCCTCTCTGTGGAGAGTTAGGGAGCAAATAATTAATGCTCTATGAAAAGGCCCCCTGACACTTTCCCCTGAGAGAGCGTCCTCTTGCTCTTGCCACTCTAGTTTCTCTCTTTCTCTTGGCTTACAAAAGAGATAATCTTATTTCTTTCCTTTTTTCCCTAAAAATAAAAATAGTTCCTATCCACTGAAAACTACTGCAATAATTGCCCCTTCAAGCATCTATAAAGTCATCCTACAGGCTGTATTTTTCACCAGGATCTAATATATTTCATATTTTAACATCTCTGAAATTAGGGTATGTCTTTTGGGTGCTAGCATCGTTTACAAATCTAATTGGCAATTTTTTGTTGTTGTTTTCAAGTAGAAGATAAATTAATGGTGTATATTCAAAATAATGGCACCTTAGATTCAATGAAAATAGAAGGTTACAGTAGAAAGATTCTAAAGATTCTAAATTAGAATTTCCCCAAGGGCAGGGAGAAGACGGTATTTCTTATTTATCTCACCTCCCCACTCACAGGGCTTAGCCCAGTAGTGCTAAGTGTTTCAGAATATTTCATCTGAGATGATGAAATGTCCACTTGTCTACTAGATGTAAACCATGTGTAAACCTCACACCAAAAACTGTGAGGAACAAACAAAACCATAAAGCAAAGTCCTGTCTATCAAAAAGACATTTCCAGCCACCAAAAATTTACTAAGTTTCCAAACTCCTGAACTAATGAATTACTTATGAATGTTTTACTGGTAAAAATACTTGATCAATAGTGTCAGCAATTCAGACAGAAAAATCATTCACAGCGCCTGAAAGATATTTTGTCATTACTGTCACAGTTAAAAACTACTGTGGTTCAAAGCAGATCATCTTACAGCTTTAGAAAATATAACCTACTTAAAAAAATTGTTAGTGCTTTGTTATCATTTTTCTTACATATATATTTATTTGTTTTTTGAGGTCACATTGTTACAACACTGTATGTGATCCAGAGGCAAAGAATCGCACCTCCTACACCACATCCACCACCAAGGCACCTATGGTCCACCATCGTCCACCATAGTCCTCCACACTTTGCTCTCTACCTTCTCCTTCCCCCTCTGGTAACCTCAATTCTACAGACAGATTTCTCAGATTTGTTATTGGATTGGTTTTGATTAACCTTTTGTTTTGTTGCCTTATATTCCACATATGAGTAAACTCAGGCAATATTAAGTCTTACTCCTGCTGACTTATTTTTTTTTAGCTTTTTCATTTTCATTTTTAAAATATTTTTTATTTTCAATAGCTAAGCTATGGAAACAACCCAAATGCCCAAAAATAGATGACTGGATCAAGAAGATGTGGTACATATATACCATGGAATATTACTCAACAATCAAAAAAGATAAACTCATGCAATTTGCTGCTGACTTATTTTGCTTAGCATTACCCCTCCAGTTTCACCCATGTTGTTGCAAACGGCCAGAGCTCATCTTTTTTTTTTTCTAGCTGAGTAGTATTCCATTGTGTAAATATACCACACTTTTACTCATCCATCCTTGGCTACTTAGATTGTTTCCATAACTTGACTATTATAAATTGTGCTTCAGTGAATACAGAAGTGTATATAGCCCTTCTAATTGGTGTAAAAAACAAAGAATTAACTGGCATACTAAAGTAATATCAAGAAAATATTTTGACCTGTCCTATAGTAGTAATCTATGGATTATTTAGCTTAGAAATGTTGTTTTTATACAGTTTCGACCAACTAGGCACCTAATAAAGTTGGTATTGTTTTCATATGTGACTTCGAATGTGGTCCCGAGGCTGAGTACTACCGTCAACTGACAGTGGGGCAGCTACCAGTCATTAATAGTCCATGTCTATTCTTACTGCCTTAACAGATAAATTTCTTATTGCTTCCCTCCCCACCATCATCTAATCACGGTCCCAAATTAATTATTTTTCAATCATCATTTAATAAAAGTGACATCATTAACAGGAATTTATTTAAATTTTTTCTAAGGACATTCTGGAATCAGTGTAATTCTTACCCAAATTCCATCAACTTATGCTTTTATGTTTTTATATAAGAGAAATAGTAAGAAAGGAAACCAAGTAAAATCATCAACCACCAAAGAAACATCCTATACTCACTGATCACATTTAACTAGAAGAACTCAGCGAGATGAAAATATTTGTGACAAGATAAAACAGTAAGATTTGTCCCTAATCGTTCTTTCACTTCCACATTAAGTTAACCATCATGTCACCATGATAAAATTTTTCTGTATAAGCTCAGAGCTGGAGTTCATTAAAAATGTAAACTTGTCCTTATAAACCTTACGAGAATCTGAATTGAGATAGCCAGATATTTCTGGAAAATTCATCAAAATTATTCTTGAACTCTGGACATTTACTCACATAGCTGCGAGCTGATTTGCATTCTGCACCAGTTACAGGAAAAGACCTGCCAGGAAGTTTTGAAACACGAGAATAGATAGGCCCCTTTCTTGGTTAAGTCTTAGCTCCAGACCTACACATTAGCCCATCCAGGACCTCTAAATCTTTTGCAAGGAGCATTTTGAAACACATGGGTCTGGTCAGCTAGTTCTGGCTTCCAGGCAGTTCAGCGAAATGCTTAGGCTAGAGAATTGCAAAAGTTTATGATTTCTCACGGAGGAATGAAATGTGACGCAGTAGAACAAACTGCAGGCATTTAATACCAGATGTTAATGTAAAAATTGGAAAATTGTGACCCCCACATGATTATCTGAACCCTGATTCACAAAAACTCATCACACTCCAGAGGCCTCATCATCTCTGGCTTCTTCCACTATTAAACATTCTATTTTTAAAACGTAAAATGGTAAATCTGAGTGATTTCATTGAGTTCATTAGATATATCAATCTCAAGGCATTTTGTGCATACACTAACAGAATAATGTAATGTCTTATCATAAAAATCAGAAGTACAGCCTTTCTAATTTATTACTTCTAATTTATTACTTCTTAGTATGTAAATATCATTTATTTCCTTTCTCTGTGCTCCACACCTAACTGACTTGATGAATGTGGAAGAAAAGGAAAGGAAGATATTGTGCTTTTTCTACTGAGAGGGAAGGAAAACATCCAAAATATACTTCCAAAACATGCTGCCATTTGCTTGCACTCCCCTGCTGAATCTGTGCACCGAGGAATTGAATGACTGTTTTAGAAGAAGAGGCACTATTTATAATTTCCATGCCTACAAGGAGAGCTTGGTGTAGAAGAGGAAGTGTAGGTAACAAGCTCTGGACATGGTGTCAGATCAGACTGAATTCCAGCTCTTTGACTTTCTGTGATATTGGGCAAAGCTCTTAGAGTTGCTATGCCTTGATTTCCTTTTCCTAAAAGTGGGTTTAATCTGACTGCTTCATAGGGTCTCCGTAAGGTGTAAAGAGTACAGTTCATATAAAAGTGATATACATAAACTATAAAGTTCCTTCTAACTATGAAGGAACTAACTCAAGTTTTGCTCTTTCAATTGAATACTGAAGAAAGTGATGTCCAGTGAATCTCCTCTAAGTCCAGAGACAAGGTAGAAGAGACTTTAAAATGGTCCTCTTCTAATAGGGCATGAGTATCTTGTCTTTGTTCCTACATACTCGTGATATTTAAAATGGTAGCGAACAAAGGAGAGTGTTAGCAATAGCTTAGTAAATTGTTAGCACTGACTTTGTTCAACTAACCCAGAAAAAAAAAAAAAACACTACTGTTGGGTTCATCATGGAGGCTGTTCCAGTGAAATACAAACCAATACAAGAGCCAGGTCCTACCTTCTCTCTCTTCTCTCAACTGTCTAAACACTTGCAGACATACAGTAGACAATGGCTACAAGAACAGCTCACCAAATGGGTGAATGAGAAAGGACCTTAGACTCCAACCTCCCCAGTTTCTCCATTGATGGATTGGAACACTGGTTGAGTGGTGTGGCATGCCAGCCTCACACAATTCAGCAGTGAAAAGTCAAACCTCCTGACCCTATTTTCAATAATTATCTTTTTAATTTACTCTGACTGTGAATGAAATTTTGTTATTCGCATCTCAAATACAATCTAATTTTTTCCCCACAGAGGAATTTACTATTTTTCAGGCAGTCACATCACATTAAGAGGCACATAACTGAAAATGTGTCTCCCTATTTTCCCTTGGTTCTTTTCTTTTTTTCTTGCTTTATCTCCTTTGCTTTCTCATCCCTCTTTCCTTCTTTCTTTCACATGTATGTAGACCTGGAAGCAGACAAGAGCAACAGAAAAGCAAATCTAAATCAGGGAGATACAGTTTGCAATTGCTGATAAGAGCTCAAAACTTAGACTGAGACTTTTTATAAAACCTCAGAGTTAACCAACTTCATTCCCGACTCGAGAAATGCTTTTCTTTCCAAATAAGCTGGTATTTCTGAAAAAGTAAAGAAATGCTTTCTTTTCTTTCCAAATAATCTGATATTTATGAGAAATTAAAATTTTATTATTCCCTATGGCACCACCATCACCACCCACTCCTCAGGCTTTTTCATCTTCAGATTCAAAATAATCCCTGGCACTTGTAATTGCATGATCTCGCAATGGGTGTGTGGGCTTATTTGGATCTCATGTGGCCAAAGTAAGCTGATAATATGTTTCTCTCACAATCATCCATGTTATCTGTTCATAAACAGCCTTATTTAATTTGAACTGAATTTGCCAACTGGAACCATTTCTAATCCCTCCCACTTGTTACACATAAGTCCAATTGGTTCATTTTTACTCTTGACTCTGATTCTAAGAATGATGTACATTTTCCCAAGGCATGTAAAGGAGAGAAGGGGCAAAAACAACAACAAAAACCCCACAGTTGACCAATGTAACACAAACTCTCCCCAATGAGTTCCTAATAAAAAGACAAAACATCAAACACCAGTAGTGCCAAAACATTTACTGAAAGTCTTCAACTCTTTCAAAAATGTTACAAAAAGTGAACAAACTCAGTGAAACTAATGACAAATTAGACATTGAAAAATAACATCTGGGTGAGTCTACACAGGCATGTGGGGAAAAGGGAATATGTATTTATGTGCATTTACTGTTATTAAAGCTCTGTATTGGGTTATTTCCCCTTCAGGAAAAGTGATCCCAGATTTGGAAATAAAGTACCCCCCAAAAGATTGTATGATCTGTTAATATCAGGCAAACCCACTATCCATCATGCCCACCCAAGGGCGATTTAGCTGTCTTGGGAAATGTAACTTTGGCTAATAATTTAGTAGGAACAAGATTAAGAACTTTATAAAGTTGGACATTCACTTGTAGAAAATTGATAAGGCATGATGATGATTTATTTTTGCCTTATGATAGAGAAATTTATCTCCAAGTTTATAGTTTTGTTTCCCTGTAAGACTTAACCAGTTTTATATCAAACTTAGAATCTCATTTTATTAAATTCTTTTGTACTGATTAAATTCCAGTTCTTCATACTGTCTTCAAACTGCTCTGTTATTCCAATGATCAGTTAAATGGAATTTAATTCATCATCTACTCAAGGAGAATTATGTGTTTAGTGGTTTGAGAGTTTGCATTTTGACAATCTTCAAACAACCACATGAGGTAGGTAGTATATCCTCATTTTACGGAGGAAGAAACTGAGTTTCAAAGTAGGTACATTACCTACCCAAGTATATAGAGGTAAGAAGTGACAGAAATGAAGTTTGAACATGAATCTGCCTGAATCCTTTTGTAAGAAATATATTGGTACACTCAAGTATAGAATGAAATTTGGACTAAAACACATCCAAAAAAGTCAACCTCACATGGATGTGTTTATATATCTGAGTTAAAAGCATCATAGGTGAATATCAAGAGCAATGAACTCTGAATGACCTAAACCTGAGTACTTAATATTTGAAGATAATGTTTGCCCTTTTGTTTGGTTTCAAATCTGAATGTTTTAAAACAGGAAATGTAGAAAGTACGTGCCCATACACTAACTATATGGAGTACTATCACTAAAGTGTGAAATTCCAATGGTTTACTGATTCCTTTAATAGCTCTGAATGACAGAAGGCAGATTACTACGAGGTTGTTATTAAAAATCATTGAAAATTATTTAGAATACTTACTAGACAACTTGTCTTTGACATTCCATAAACATGTCTCTGAGAGATTTTTAAAAATAAATTTGAGGAAATTATCAATCTATTCCACATAAAGATGTTCAATCAACCTTGCCTTTAACTTGTAGAATGAGTAACACCAACACCTTTTTCTATTCTTCAGGCATCAAAGTGATTTGTTGTCCTAACTCAACACACCAGACAGATGCCAAGACTAGACAACGGCAAACTACTCTTCATCTGAAAGCACCTTAGTACACATTTTAGATCTTAAAAGGGTATCTTGAGAAAGAGTGACCTCACATATATGTGCTTATCTGTCAACAAGCATAACATTCAAGGGGAATATACAACTTTTGAATATATCTTTTTTATCCATCTGAAGATGCAGTCATTTTAAACACAGATTTACAGAGGTTTTTTGCATAAATAAGATTCTAAAGTTCAGGCCACTTGGTATCTAGGTTATTATAAACTTGTGCTTGTATTATGATGTTTTGTCCACCAAACCACAAGTTAGACAGCAACCATCTGGTTTTCCATAGAGTGCACCCCTATTTGATGGTCACTAGCAGTTGTTGGCCACAGATTTAAATTAAGTGAGGCAATCCACCCTAGTCCTCACCCCTGAACCCAAACTTTGGAGCCAGTTGAATTTCAGCTCCAGCTGAAGTGAAAAGATAACTCTGTGGTTCAAATTCATCTTGACTCACATTTTCACTGTTTTATCCTGGCTAAAGTTGCTCACTGTGTCTGTGGTTTTCTTACATAAATTTTCAATCCAGCTAGTGCTATTAGACACTGTCTTTTCCAATTCTGATGTTGGGGGTGGATTTCTAGCTCGCATATTTTTTCCAGATGTGATAAGTTCTCCATAGCCCTCTTGGTGAGCAAAAGCATATCCAGATCTTCTTGAGCTTGATCTGCGAGTCTGAGGCCTTCGGCTACGTAGAGGTCTTGTCTTCTTTTGAGCCTTCTGCCTCTGGCGGATCTGGAGAAGAAGAACTACAGTGAAATGATGCACCCATAGCAGGGACCCCAAGGAATGCACTGCTTTGTGATGTGAATGCCTCTTCGGCAATATCAACAGCACTGATAACAAAATACTCACCTTCACTGCAAAAGGAAGTTTTTCGTGTAAAAACCAAGAAATTTTCACCCAAGATTACACTAGACACTGATCAGTTCTTATTCATACCAAAAGACTATTAAATAAGCAAGAAGTGTTGAGACAAATTTTATTATTGTCTCCACTTCATACACTCATCTTCAGTGAACAGCAACATAATTTTTTTAAACCGTCTTTTTTTTTTAGAGATTTATTTATTTATACAAGAATTGGGGTACAGGCCAGAGACACGGGAGGGTGAGAGAATTCACCAGAGACAGAGCAGGGAACAGAATAGGCAGAAGAACCGAAAACACTGCTGAGGGGAGCAGCGGGGGAGACAGGAGAGGTCTGCCATGCCATGTGGGTAGTTCCCTGGCTGGCCGGGAATCGAACCCACGCTGCAGAGGCTCTGGACAGCTTCACAGCACAGCACTCAACCTGCTGCGCCACTGGGGAGGCCCAGCAACATAATTTTGTACAGAAAGATTTTCTAACATGTGCCACTCAAACAAATTCAGTATGTATACACTTGTGTGTGTATTTGTGTGTGTGTGTGTGTGTGTGTGTGTGTATAGTCCCATTCCCCCAAAAGACGAACTTTCCCTCTCCTTTAGAGATTCTCAAGATCCAATAGCCATTACATACTAAATTAGGAGAAAATTTAGAAAACGAGTCAGAGTTTTCCAACTTTTGTGGGAGCTTGATGTGCCATGAGATTTTCAGGGTTGCAATTCTGTTTCTGTGGTCTTTTGAAGAACTCAACACCATTTTGGTGTCTTCCCAACAATTCTTTCATTTCCCTGTAAAGCTGAGGAGGAAAAGAGCCAAGGCTTGCTCTCTAATGCAACTGATCACTTGGATTCCAACTTTGGTGTCAGGAGAAAATCTTTCAGCAGAAAATCATAATCTGACTAGTTAGAGAAAGAAATGAGCATCGTCTTCCCTCTATCAGCCCCTCCACCATTTTCTGGATTTACATCAGATTAACTCACAGAGCCAAGGAGAAAGAACAACTATATCAGGGGGTTCCAGGAATCATTTCAGAAGGAATCTTCCCATATTTATCTCCAGAATGTGAGGGATATAATGATAAGGGAAGTTCCTGTCAGCATCATTAACCTGGTCACTCACTGCATCAAGGTTTCCCCTTCTCATAAAGTAGCTGCAAATGTGTATCTCCCTTTTCGTTTTATCTTTCCTCTCTTTTTATTTTAACATTTATCATTTTTTCAATTTTTTAGACAATATTTGCTTCCCTCCACCCCCTCAGGTATAGTCCCCATAGAGTTTCCTTCCCCAAGGCACCCTTGCACCATCACCTCAGTCCCCTGCGCTCCCCCCTCTCTCCCTCTGATCCCTCTCCCTCCTCCTCCCCTGCAGGATGTCTCTGGTTTATAATTGTCTGTTTTTGCTTTGTTGTGTTTTGTACTGTTATTATTTTTTTTTACACTGATGTCTTATTTGGTTCCCCTATATTCCTGTTAGAAGTGAAACCATCAATATTTTTCTTTTTCCTTCTGGCTTATTTCACTGAGCATAATTTCTTCTAGCTCCATCCACACTGCTGTGAGTATGCCTATGTTTATTGCAGCACTATTTACAATAGGTAAAACCTGGAAACAACCCAAATGCCCAAAAATAGATGACTGGATCAAGAAGATGTGGTACATATACACAATGGAATATTATTCAGCAATCAAAAAAGATATCTTTTCTCTTTTTAACTGGGTTGTAACCTAATTATCTTGTTTATACACCTCTTCCCACAAAATATAATTTGCTCTTCCATGGGTTAGGTATTTCTATAATCGCTCTTCTTTTGTTTTCTTCCTACCTTTGCATTTTCCAATCCAGTTTTCAAGTTGCTCTTTTCTTAACTTGTTTAGAAGTTAACTTCTTCCTCAGGTTTCTGAATCTATTACTATATTTCTAAAAATATTTAGTCTCTTCACCTCATGCGATGCTTGTCCCTCTGTTGTTGTACCTTTACTTACCCACACATCAGTAACTTTCCTGATAGTTTGCCTCAGCCTTGGAATAACTGTCCAACATGCTACCAGTGAGCTTCTTATATTTCAAGTCAAATTTATAAATATGCCCAATTTAACTTGTAACGCATGACTCTGCATCCATACCTATCCACACTCTCCTCTTCACCGGCACTCATGTGGCTAGTATATCCAGATGTGGAAGTTCATCTACTATGATATGATGTAATGCACCTGTGAATTTTGCCAATGAATAGTTCATTGGTGTTTCCCCAAGCGTCCGGAGCATGAAATAATTCTAAGAGACAAGAACCAGCTCTTCAATTACTCATCATCAATACCACATACCTGTTCACTCAGAGTTGGAAATAAATCCACCTTCAAAAATCTGACTGCCACCACAGGCATAACTGAAGCCACTGTTGTTAAGAGAATAATAAGCCAGATGCACTTCTGGGTCAAAGAATGGCGCACATTTCCTATCATTAAAGGAAAAAATACATTGTTGTCAGAAATAGGACTGAATTATTGAATTAATGGACTCATTGTCTATTCCCATAAGGTCTCTTTTTTGAAATGGTGAGGTTCAAGTACCCGAGGGAGAAGCGCTGGCTGTCTTCCCAGTATGTAGTATGTTCAGGAGTGTAGAGGAGAAGACAAAGGTAGTAGGAATACTCTTGGGAACTGACATGGCCTGATAAGGTGGAGATTACCAGCAGGAGCCAACAATTCCCTGAAGCAGACTCAGTGCAGCTTCACTCATGAAGTAGAATGTTTCTTTGAGCTCCTTGAAGCTCAGCATCCTCACACATGGCTAGAAAAACAAGTTTCACTTTAAAAGCACTGCGTACTGCTAGCTACTAAGGAAAAAAGTTTTTCTTTAGCCCCACTGACTTTTCAAAAGTCTCATTGGAGCTCAGTAATTAATTCCTGGAATGGCATGTGCTTAGCTGGCGAGCATGGTCCCTACAAAAACTACTTTCTCCAGTTGAGGCATTCCAGTCTCATTATGCATGCGAGAATGCTCTCTTAGGACTAGAAGTCTTCTGGTCAATGCATTGAACTTTCAGTTTTGGCAACAAAAAAAAGAGAGTGAGGGAAAAAATTTAAAAATAGTTTTAATGTCTTTCTTTCCTAATATGCGTATAGTTATTCAGAACCAACATGTTTCTACATGGCTGGAATCTTTGGTAAAAAAAATTATTACCATCAGGTATTAAGTAAAAGTGGTATAATTTAAAGCTTTCCATGGACATACAGAATATGCAAAAATCAAACAACAAGGTATGTAAGTGTATGTGTGCATTTCAATAGAACAATAATGATAGGTGGCTTTGTATCAGGGAGCATGTACAACCCTGTAGTTGCTCTTATCTTGCTTTCTACATGAATCAGTCTTCTAAGAATTGTTTTTCCAGGCTGGATTTTCCAACCAGTGGAGGCAAACCTTAGTCTTGCCTGATGGAACTCAAGAAGGTTGTCACTGTGTATCTCTCTTTTCCACAGTTTGCTGGGATAAACTCAGAAATATGTTACCAATTTATCTCGGACACACTGGAAGATTTCAAAATTTCTGAGAAAGTATATTCATAGTCCCCTGTGTAAACCTTACTTGCCCTTGCTGGGAATCATTTTGAAATGTGGAGTGCAATGGCAATTAATGGACTAGATGTACACTCTGCAAAATCACAGAATCTCAGGGCACTAAGGGATTTTAGGGGGTCCTTTGCTGCACATATGATGCTCAAATCACTCTGTAATGTGCCCAACTATAATCAAACAGTTGTTTAAATTATCGTCATCATCATCATCATCACCACCACCATCACCATTAACATTTCTTGAAAAAGTGCTATGTAACAGGCTACAAGCTAAGTATCTCATATACTTTATTTCATTTAACCTTTACAAATTTCCTATGAAATAGGAACCATTAATGTCCTCAGTTTAAAAATGAAGATATTAAGGCATGATGGGAAAAGACACTTCCCCAAAGTCACATAGCTTATAATTAGTAAAGCTGACATTTGAATCCAAGCTGTCAAACAATAGAGGCTACTGTTTATATCACTTATGGACTAATATATAGCAACTTTCTGAAGACTTTAAATTATACACCATTTCTTCCTTACCTAAATGTAAGTGAGTTCCACTCATGAACTTTGACAGAAACATTGGTGATGGTGTGGCATAAAAGTAAGACCCTATTATTTCTTTCTCTTTCCTCTCTCTATATAAACTTTTTATAGGACCTCAAGTAATCCTGATACATGTGTTCTGGCCCTCGTTTGCAAAGGGACAGTCTATTAATGTATCTTGGCTGTTGGGAAACTGCAGACAGCTATCTCAATGATTCTTCTGCATGTGGTAACAGAAATGAATATTCTGGAGACCCTCTCAAGCATGAAAGCTTTAAGTGCCTGGCTCAATTAGTTTATAGAGAAAGGATCTTGGTCATTTTTAGCCCCACCCAACATAGGAAATAAATTACAAAAACAAATAAAAGCCAGCACGACACCAGACCCAACTAGACAGTAGGACTTACTTACCAACAAATGGAAACTGATTCGGAAAGGCGCCGAAGATGCCATTACTATGCATTGTAAATAAAATGGAGAAATAAGTGGCGATGCTGCCCCAGAGGAAGACATGATTAATGACAGTCCAGTAACTAGTATCCAAGGCTATCTATTAAAAAAATCAAATACAAGAGGTCTTTGAGGATTAAAGGAACATCAATTTACTAAGTAATATTTTCCCAGAACTGCTCTCCAAAAAGATGGCTGCACTATCAACCAACCATAGGCAATCACGGCACAGGGGACTAACATCACTATTCCTGATAGATAATTGACTTTTAGCACTTATATCTGTAAGCCATTACATCTGCCAAGTTTGGATCAAAGTTAGGAGATAACATGTTCAACTTCTAAATGAGAAATAAGAAAGTAGAGTAGTTTTTAATCCCAAGTTACTTTCCAAATTGCTCTCAAAACTTTTCAATTTGAAAAAAATTTCTGTGGCAAGTGCAACATTTTATAATCTTCACATAAATTTTCACATGAGCACTTTACAAGGTATAGTCTGTTTTATATCTGTAATTCATTTTGATGATCCTTCTCTTAAATTATTCAAATGGTAAAAAAAGAAAAATCCTTAATCCTGGGATTCATGGTGACCTGGGAGCATGTTCACAAGTCCTTTGTTTTTCTACCACCTTGTCATGAAAGTTATAAGTAAGATTACTGCTATCTGGTAAGCCAAGAAGTCACTAGTGATTATGAACACTTTAGTTTTCAAGGGAGACCAAAAGAGTAGGTTTTCGTGTCATTACTTGCATCTTAGAGCTTCCAAATGGTCCAAGAAAAGGTGTTCATTTCTAGCAGAGTCTAAGACCACAGATACCACAACTGCCTGATAGGACCCTACCTAAATAAAACAGAGATCTACCTCTGTGTCTGGAAACATACTTCCCCTCCCCTCTTGAAGTGAACTTTCTTTTCAGATGTTACACCAAAAAGGATGCTAGTAACCTTGACATAAAATGCAGGGGTTATAAAAGGACAGTCTTTTCTCTCCTTAAATGGCCTGAGATCAGAATTCTGCCTTCCATACCTCAGCAAAGAATTTGGTTTTCCAGTTCATTCAGTTGCCAAGACATTAGACTAAAATTTCCAACTCTACCATCTACTGCCTATCAATTCATCAACAGCAGTAGACAATAGCCTGACCTGTATGGGCATGGATAAGCAAAGAAAAATTACAACCCTCTTAAAAGGACTTGAACAGAATCAAAACAGGTGGCTCCTGTTGAAGCAGAACTAATAGAAGAGACAGATGAGCACTATAACCAAAAATATGTAATGAAGACTCTTAAGAAGATGCCATTAGATCAGAAAAAAAAAAATTCTGGAAGAAAAAGAATTATTTCTGAATATAAAAATTCAATAGAAAAACCAAATAAGAATAGTCACTGATGAGAACTGAATTAATATTCTGGAACAAACAAATGGAAATATCTCACAACAGAGAGCAAAAACTTGAAGAAATGGAAACCAGGTGCAAAAACATAAGAGACATAGATGGCAAATCCATAGATCTCAGAGCCATGAGCTCGATATACAAAACAATGGCATTTTAGAAAGCGAATAAACGGAGAAGTAACAATAAAAGAAATGATAGAAGAAAACAGCTCTGTGGCAACAAACCACAAACATTTTCAGATGAAGATGGCACTCTAAATCCCTGCCCAGTTAATGCAAGAAGTTACACTCCAGTGACATTTGTGAAATCCAGAGGTAAAAACATAAGCTTCTAGACTGACATCATCAACACGGTGGCAAAGAGACAATAGGATCAAGCTCTCCCATAAAATCATCTTATAGGGAGAAATAACAGTGAGTTCATGGCGGGATCCAGATGCATTTGACAAATTTGGCAACACTGGTGATTTGCCCAGATGCAGAGGGAATTTGGAAAGAAAAGAGAAAAAATCATCAGACCCCTTCTCCCCTCCCCCACCCACAAAGCCAGCCCACTTGTCCAGAACAAAGGGAGGAAAAGCTTGGAGCCAACAACTCCCAGAGAATCCTGAGACATCTGAGAAGTCCAGACTGTGACAGGTGGGCAAGTCGGGCCTTGGCACAGGCACAGGGTACAAGCACACAGCGTCAGGTGCGAGCCCCTTTGTTGTGGAGCTTTCCTCCCCATCCCCTTCTGGGAGACCAGCTGGGCCATTTAACCAGTCGCACTTACCAGAGGGAAGGCCATCAGGGGGAGCCTCATTGGGCTGGTACCTACATTGGAGGCCTTTTGGTACCCCAAGCCCTCATGTGAAGGAGGCCGCAGAAGCTCCTTTACCCATCCAACTACCTCACAGATCCAGAAAGAGTACTGAAACTCTCGCAGCCACAATTCATTCCATGCTCTTTTGTGCATGTTTTTGGTTTAAATCCTCCCTAGGAAGACTATCATACTCAGCCCTACAGTGCTCCCCAGCGGACCAGACTAAAACAGCAATGACTTGCTCACAGGGAGCCATTAGAGTCGTGAGAAGCAATTCTCCCCCCATCTGTTTGTGTGTTTGTTTGTTTATTGGTCAGTGAGTTATCTGTTGTACCTTTCCATCTTTCGTATTTCTGTTTTATGTTTCTTCTATTTTTCTCCTTGCTCCCCTTTAACATTACCAGCACTACTTTCTCTTCTCTTTCTGTTACCCTCCCTCCTCTTCCTCCTCTTTCCTTTTCCCCCAGTCTAGCCTTTCTTTCTTCTCTCACCTTTATTCCTCTTACATTTCTGTATCATCCTCTTCTTTCCTCTTATCTCTTCTTTCACTCCTTATTATCTTTTGATCCTTGTATTCTTCTGAGACAAGCCTGAAGGGACCTAGCAGCTCAAGAGAGAAATATATCCCACCCAGCCTGCAGGCACCTCCCAGTGGACTTGGCCTCAGTGTATGTCTGGAGGTGAAGGGCTCCACATGAGACTCTTGATTATCACAGGCTGAGACGTCAGATCCCATCCTATGCAGTGAGGGCTAGAAAAGCAGGGGCTCCTGGAGCAAAGCACAGCAAGAACAACACCTACCATATTAGAAGAGTGCCTGTATGTGTACTCAGGTGGGAACTGCAGGATCCCCCCGACTCCCAAGTAAGGTAGCCCCAACGCCCTGGAAAGAGGAACGAGAACAACCACCTGCCTAGAGCAGGGGTACAGCTAAAGAGAGAGGAAGGGAAAACTACAAGAGCCCTAACCTATACCTCTACCCACCAGCCACAGTGGCTCAGACACTAGGCAGACACATCTACACCTCAGCAAGGGAAATCAGAAGTCATGACAACCAGCACCAGTGATACAGGGACACTAAGAACAGAGCAAAGCCAAAGGCTAACAATGGAAAGAAAGAAAAATACAAATGATCAAGCAGGCCATTCTGGAAACAATACACCTCAGAAATAAAGTCAACCTCCAGAACATGATAATATGGACACAGAAGAATATCTCTACCTAACAATGAATTCAAAAAGGTCATAATGAAAACAATTAAAGAGGTAAGAGAAAACACAGAAAGAGATAAGAATATAATCAATGAACTGAAGAAGAAAGTGAAGGAACTGGAGGATATCCAGAGATTAGTGGATTTGCTCAAGAATTCTGAGAAAAGCCATGAAAATAGAAGAAATGGAAGAATTAATCAGTAGTCCTGAAGATACAATCATAAAAAGAACCCCCCCCAAAAAAAGGAAAAAGAAATACAAAGGAAAAAGTAGGAAGAAATACTTCAAGAACTATCTGACATCATGAGGAAAGGAAATAGAAGAGTCAAGGAATCCCAGAAGGTGAGGAGACAAAGGAACCAAGAAACTATTGAGAGATAATTGAAGTGAACTTCCCAAGGATAAAGAGGGAATGAAAATAGACATACAGGAAGCTAGAAGAACACCAGATTACCATAATGAAAGGAAAACTACAGCAAGACACATAATAGTAAAGTTTCCGAAGGTACAAGACAACTAAAAAATGATGAAACTGATGAGGGTGAAGAAACAGATAACCTATTAAGGAAAACCAATCAGGCTGACATCAGACTTCTCCAAGGAACAATATGGACAAGAAGAGAATGGAGTAACATATTTAACAAACTCCAAGTCAAAAATGCCAACCAAGAATACCCTGCAAATCTCTCCTTCCTCTATGAAGGAAAAATAAAAAACCTTCTCAGAAAAAAAACCTCCAGAAATTCATTACTACTAAGCCCCCCACTCCAAAGAAGCCATAAAGCTAAAACCAACAGAAGAATAATAGGAAGAACAAAATAAGGTAAGGAATAAAATCACAACAAGGCAAATGAAATGGCAAATATAGATGCCAGTATATAAATATTAACTCTAAATGTAAATGGCCTAAACTTATCAATAAAAGGACACAGAGTAGCAGACTGAATTAAAAAAACAGAACCAAACCTTTTGTATCTACAGGAAACACATTTAACTACAAAAGATAAACATAGATTGAAACCATAAAATATATAGAAGGAAATATAGGCGAAACACTACGTGATTTGCACATCAAAGACATCTTTACAAACACATCACCCAAAGCAGTGATAGTGAAGGCAAAGATAAACAGCTGGGACTACATCAAATTAAAGAGCTTCTGCACAGCAAAAGAGACAATAACAAAAACAAAGAGAAACCCCACCAACTGGGAGAACATTTTTGCACCCAACACTAATGATAAAGGACTGATCACAAAAATCTGCAAAGAGCTGATGAGACTCAACAACAACAAAGAAAATAATCCAGTCAAAAAATGGGCAGAAGAGCTAAAAAGAAACTTCTCTCAAGAGGAAATGCAAATGGCCAACAGGCATATGAAAAAATGTTCAACATCACTTGCCATCAGGGAAATGCAAATCAAAACTACCATGAGATACCATCTTACACCAGTGAGAATGGCACATATTAAAAAAACTAGCAACAACAAATGCTGGCGAGGGTGTGGAGAAAAAGGAACTCTTCTACACTGTTGGTGGGAGTGCAAACTGGTCCAACCACTGTGGAAAGCTGTGTGGAGATTTCTGGACCTACTAAACATAGAGCTTCCATATGATCCAGCAATTCCACTCCTAGGTATTTACCCAAAGGACACAGAAACATCAATTCCAAAGAACACCTGCACCCCTATGT